GATTAGTGGTGCTTGCAAAAGGGCAAGTATAACCCAGAAATTGTAATCTGAAATTACCTCTGACATCATAGGTGTATTTTTGTCTTTAGGAAGCAGTGTTGCTGGTAATTTACTATAATTGCAATAACCAGATCATTAAACTGTGTCTGCAGAGAGCTTGGAAAAATACATCTGCCCTTTCCATGACAGTGCATCAAAGAATATATTACACTTGTAAATCAAATATCCTTGTTATGTTTAGCACAGTGTTCCATACATGAAAGCTACTGATTTTATTTCGATTTTTCAGATGACTCTTCAACAAATGATATTAAAACATTAATCATCTTTAGATCAGAAGAAAGTTGTGTCATAGGTTAAAAAACTGGTTTGAAGACAGGAAGTATGAGTCATAATGGGCATTTCTCTCAGTGGAGATCAGTTTGCAGACTATTATAAAGCCCTGGGATTCAATATGTTTTATAAATTATATGGTAAAGTGACTTCATAATGTAACATCCATTTTTTAATGGCCCCAAGTTGCAAAATAGAGAAGCAGTGGAAATAACTTTCAGTAAGACAGAAACACCTTTGTGAACAATTACAGGTAATAGATAATGCAAAGAACTTGGTAAAAATAAACAAACACCAAACAGAATCAGACTGTTTGTAAGCTGGCTGATGTGATTTGGGAAAGGGCTAGGGGTCCCAGGAGCCTGTTCGGCTTGTCAAGTTCTTGACACATGAGTAAAGGTGTTGACAACTACTGATCTACTTATACCAAACAGTTATCTGAGGGTAGTCTAGAAAAAAAAAAGAGATTTAAGTGAAGTAAGTAAATTTTGAGATGATAAATCTATAATGAATTACAAAAAGAAACAAGGGATACTTCATGAGAAACTTTATAAACCTCAGCTAGTGGGGAAAACAAAGTTCCTGGGCAGATGTGGAATTCCTCTCCTCCCACTACAAACACATACATATATATGCATATATTTAAATTAAATTCATATTTCAGTGAACAAATAAGAAAGAGAAATTTTCAGGTGCCAGAAATATATAGGAAACCAATAGCCAAAGCTGTGTGGGGGAAGCCACACGGACTCCAGGGGCGGCGGCTTCAGCCTGCCTGGGGACAGTGACACACCCTGTTCATAACATGGATCTGGAACTGGGTTCACCAAGTAAAGCTGGGCGCTGGCAAGTTGCTGCGGCGCTGGTGCAGCAGGCGGGAAAGCTACCTGCGAGTTGTTACAGGAAGTAGCTGTTCACACTGTGTCATTAGTGGAAATGGCCACCCTCCAGAAGTAAGCTTAAAGTTGTCATCTTTCCTTTCAATGGGTCCAAATGTGCACTGCTTTCTCCCTGTGAAAACCCTGAACTGAGAAAATAACTCAGAAACCAGTACAGAATCATTGAACTCTTTAGGGCTCCAACAGAGACAACTATGAAAGCAGTCCTGTTAGATTTGCCTTTGTTTTCACTTTTGTCTTTTTCAACAAAACATCATAGACCTCTTATAAGGACGAGCTTACAAGCAGAAATTACAAAGCACTTAAGTATACCCACCGCCTTGAAGTCAGCAACAAAGCAAACTGAAAAAACCAAATAAAATAGGCAAATCATAAAAGGACTTTTAAGAAGGTCTAAACTATTGAAAGATTAAAAAAAAAAGAATTCCACAAGATGAAAATAAAAGCAGGAGAATTTGAAGTAGAACCAAATAGAAATACTAGAAAAGAAAAAAGAATCATTGAAATGAAAAACAAAAAGAAAAAAAGAAAAACACCTCAACAAACTAAACATAGCTAAAGAGAGATTTAGTGAATGAGAAGATAGATCTGAGGAGCTCACCTTGAATGCAATATAAAGAGTTAATGAGATGTAAAATACGAAAAAGAACATAAGTCACAGAAAGGATAGAAAGAGAGATTTTGATGCAATTGGATCCTCAAGGGAGAGAATAGAGGATTCATTGAAGATCAACATATGGTCTTATAAAATATTCTTTGGTATTTTTGTCAGATATTTAAGACTGGCTTAGCTAAACCTTGGGAAATTTCTCTATTATTTATTTCGTGTTTTAATTTTGACTAGTAGCATTCACACT